GTGCACAGACGGACGGACGGACCGAGAGTCCAAAATAATGAACTCGCTTAGGAGCTCGTTAATATACAGTCTGTTATTCCTTAAAAGTTGTTTTTTCAGATCTTCAACGTTCAAGTAGCAATTAAAACAACTATTAGCAATATCGGCCGAACACTGTCTGAGAATCAATCCCAGTAAGTCCAGTGCCATTCATAAGGGATAAAATATTGCCTCTAGGTGAATTAAATTGTCCATTCGTAACACAAAGATCTTTTACATGATTTCTCAGATAAATTTCTACCATACTTCGCTTTTGTGCTTCAGTAAAACTGAACGCCATTATTCCAAACTGACTTTTAATGAAACGTTTAATGAAACGCATTTCAGAACACATTCTGTTTGTCAAAGGAAAAAAATGAAAAAAGGCAAGACAAAAACAGCGTAAAGTAAAGGATGACGTGGTGGTGTCAGGAAGTACGAAAATTACAGTTGTTTTGATCAAAAAAATAAACCATACCTGAATGATTAACTGCCATATTCTAATTTCGAAAATGTGATATTGTTTTAGTAATTTAGTTTATAAACTATGGTAGTTAATGTGATATTTGTATTTTGTCCTCATTTTTAGTTATGAGAAGATTTAACCATATCTTCCCACCCCATTGGTTTTATATTAATTTGGGAAACTTATTAAGATTTCCTTAATAATAATAATTTTAATTAATAATAAACATCAAATACAAGAAATAATCTCTAAATGGTGACCAACAGAAGCGGCTAATTGGAACTTCTTTTCCTTTTAAAAGCAAATGGCATCGATAGTAACCCATCTATTATGATATTTAGAAAATATCCGACCATTGAAAACCTCATAAAATTCAGAATGGCCATCAGGAGACAAATGCGTAGAAAAAGAAATCGTGGGCAGAATAAGCAGGAAGCATAAGTGCTGAAGCGAATTCCTGCGTGAGAATCAAAACTTGAGTTGCAATATGAGAATGATAATTGTTAATTGCAATTGCAAATTGTAATAATTTAACTGAACAATTAGAGTTCAAAATTGACGAAGTTGTTATAAATTGCAGAAGTTAAAAGGTCTTCGTAAAAAACCGCTTCATCGCTGATAATCATATAGTAAGATTACATTAAGCAATCATCCAATATACCATTTAAACGTTCACTGTACATCTCACAAGGTTTTGTATGTAATTAGAGGACGATTATGCTACAAAACGTTCGATCAAGGATTATTAATTTTACATTGTGTAAAACATGATGTTTATTCAAATGAATAGCGAACCTGTCCACGAGAGACGGTGGTCAGTTATAATTTCTTTACTTATAATTTCGCTACCTAAGTACCAAGAAATTGTGTCACCCTCAAAAAACTGTTTAAGGTCATTCATCGCTTTTGTAATTGACACCTTTACTTTTTTATCAACTTTTTCGGTTCCTACTTCTCACCTTCACTACGTTAAATATGTCTAAAATCGTAAAAATGAAAATCGATCGCCTTCAAAGTATCTGCACTAGCACGGAAATGAACAATTTGAATTACATCATTGATTAACATATTACCAGGTGTGTTAATAGGCATACACATCAAGATAAGCGACAATAAGTAGTTCTTCATCTACAATTTAATACTAACCATATGATATAGGTAGTTTCAAGTACAAGTGGTCACGATTGCGACTTTTGTACAGCACACTTGCACGTTTGTGATATTTATTACAATTTGTGGTACTGTTTAATGGACAGGAAGAAGCTATGAATATAGACTTAATCAAAGGGAGGAAGTATTTTTCAACTACCAACTGTTTTGACCGAATGAGTTTTTTCAATGGCAGTTTTGTTGCGAACAAGTGCCGATCCTATACTAGTTATTCAAGTACGATTGAAATTAACGGATTTAATGAGTGCTCTAATGACTACGGCGGTTTATTGGTTCATCGTACTGCTCTGTTGATTTACTCCATTAATATATTTATTCAGACGGTCAACTTTTTCGATGGCCTTCTCATGAAATCTGTCGTCATTACCGGAACCGCGAACACCACTGTATAAGAAGAACTAGAAAAATAAAGAAACCATATAAGTATCCTATCCTTTTCTAAATGCTGGTCGGAGACATCAGTTCAGTAAAGTAACCATTTTTGCCGCAATCAAGAATCATCGTAATATTTAATGGGGGATGTAGACTTCCAATGCCACATAGGTATTTTGAGTTCTGAAGTTGATTTCATTACGTCGTTTACTGAGGAATCACACTCTTCTTAATTATTTTCTACTACTATGCGATCAAAAATGAGTTGCTGTCGAGTCACCTTTGGAATTTTTGCTTACATAGGAAATCGTACGTAACTTGAACTGTATGACAGTATGACAAATTACAGCCGAACCTCAAGAATACAATACACTCAATACACGAAATGCAAATGACGGTGCTTACGATAAGAAAGGAAGAACGCAAAATAGATCCTCATTAGGAATATACAGGTGAAATCCGTCCATTAATTACTTCGGAATCCTAAAATTAGGAATCCAATCGCCAGAGATCAAAGTATATGGAAGATGGCAATTAAAATTCCATGCGTTCTAACTCAGACTTTTAGCTGTTTGTTTAAACGAAATGCATTTGTTACGGCATATGAAGAATAGGAAAATGAAAATCGACACGCACTAGTCAAAGCACTAGCCGTATGCGCGGCAAAATTGCGTTGTTAAATTCTTTCAAAAAGTGATAAACCGTAAACAATAATAATGCTTTGCAATGGAGAAAATAAATCGTTACAATATAGCGAACAAGAATGCATCAAATTCATGGCTTGGTCATTGAGATAATGCTCTTAGTCTTTTTCCCAACGATCTTGTTGCATGAATAATGATCTTGACATGCTTTGATCAAATCAAAATACATGCGGTGTAAACTCCTGTGTAAAGACTAATTTTAGGTGGATTTTGCTCTAAAACTTTTGACCTAGACCACAGAGAAGAGTGAATCCACATTTAAGAGTCATTGGGAATAATCTAGAGAAAATCGAATCTGACCTAAGGAATGAAATATGTTGATTTCTATTATATTGAGTCCACAGTTTTTCATGTTCCCGATTCTTTTGAAGTGCTATAACTTTTGTTCCTGTTGAGCTAGCTTCATGAAAATCAATAGCGTCCTACCAAAATATCCGTTCGCCAAATTTCAACACGATCGGTCACTTTTAAAAAGAGTTATAGCGCACATGGACAGACGGACGGACAACAATATATAACTATAAAGGATCTGAGGGCCCTTAATAAATTATCCGATTAATAATCAAGCTCTTCTGTACTTACTCTCGAAAAATATGCAAAATAAACTATCAAATTGTTTCACTCATAGTGCACGGCCCTTAAAATTCCATTAGCTCAATTCTAAAATGATGCGAGTCAATAATCTTGCTGAATTCTGTATATAGTGTTGTGAAAACAACGTCACGTAGAAGTTTTTCGGTTTAAACACCAAAAATAATGGCGGAATACCCTGTATAATGAGAATATTCCAATTTATTAAGTGGGGGTTTATCAACGAATACACACAGAATTGGTTCTTGCTTAAATTTTATCGCTTTTGTAATTTACTCAATTTAGATAAGGGACTTTGAGTTAGAGTCTTCTGGTCAAGTTTGCGTACCGACGTTACAAAAGGATTTGTCGGGTCATTTGCAATAAGGAATCTTATCAGGCGAAATTAATTAACGGACGTCTTTTTATCGTTGTTAAGAGATAAGGTAGGTATTTCGAAAAATTGCGCGATATTTTCGGCGTAAGTGTTCCTTCGAAGCTGGCGTTATGAAGTCTGATTGCGATTGGCGGCGATTTGAAAATTCTGCAGGAGATTATTTTATAGTCGAAGTGGTGTTCCCTCAAATAAAAGTTTGTGGAAAGTTTTTAAAACGGTTTGTCCGTATTCAGAAAAAGTTAGTTCGGTTGCGAGTAAACAAAGCAGTTGTCCGCTTAGTTAAAAGTTTCTACCGTCCGAGTAGCTACCGATTTTTTCATATGATTCATATCAAGCCAATTCGGGTCATTGAACTCAGTTTATTAAAGGCAAAGTTTCCTGAAGCTGTCAGTGAGTGTTTTTGTGTCTTTGATAAGTGCGCCTGAATATCGCAAACCTTTTACCACCAGATTATTTGTATTATTATTTTTAAAAACTGTCAGTAATGTAGGATTTTTTTATTTTAATTATCGACCGCATGCGTGCGGGGTATTATGTCCAAATAGGCTTTGTAAGCTTTTCTTTATTTCGGGGATTTTCTTTTAATTGTTTCGGAATACATAAATTAATTGTGTGTTTATTCGAATACTTTGTGCTACCCAGATAGAGTTTTCATGTCAGAGTTGTCTATTCGTACTGAAGATTTATTTCACGTGTGAATTGAAGTTCCATTCGATTATCCTGAAGGACGCCTCCATTCTCCGCGCTATAAATCCATATATTAGAATGCAGCATAAGTTTCAATAATCATCTTCCTAAGCGTGGACGTACTGGGTATAACATCTCTGTTAACATTATATCAAAATCAGAAGTTAATTTATGATTGAGTCGGTATTTAACAAATAAACCATTTACCTTCAAATTGTGAACGTCATATGCTGAATGCCTGTGGATACTTGCCTTCCACCATAGTAATTTAATTAGAGACTCGTATAACATAGCTCTTAGGTGATTAATTTCTGTGATTATAGCAAATTTGAAGTCTGCAGTACACTAAAATCGATTACGAATATTCATATTTTAGATTGGTTTTGATTCGTGTGATGCGTTGTTTGTTCAGATCACGACCATCTTGCAACAGTTTACAAAGCAATTTCAATGTCTCGAAAATTGTACCGTAATTGCGCAGTTATTTTCTACGTATACCTATATGCACTCAAAATCGTTTGCATATGAAATTGGACCACAAAACCTTATTACAAGCTCAACTATGTGGTACGTAATCGTTATTGTACTCACTGCGTATTTTACAAATTCGGCCCAAGTGCCTTCGAGCTTTATTCGAGATTATATGAACAGTTTCGACCAACCACTACCAATTAGCGGCAGTCTGTGTAACACTTTTGGTGAGTTCAACACTGAAATAGTGCCTCTAAGTGATACTTTCAGATTCTGTGCGGTTATGGAAAACTTTATCAGAAGATGGGGTACCTTCCAGCTTTCACGTAGCGTTGGTGGAACTCCCCCCATCTCCAATTCTGCTCTTGATCGACTTGAACTGTAACCATTCACGCATATTACTAACGCAGGTCAATCCGAAGCTGTTTTCTCTTCCTCTCCGTTGGCTGTTGATAAGCACTGACACGTATACTACTGACCTAACAGTTTATAAATTGAATATCATGGTCGACAGTGACCTCGTTTTGGCCCAACGTACGAGTACAAATAATTACTCACTGACCAAACTATATAAACTAGAACCGAACTTGGAAATGGTACAGGAACGTTTGGGGTATTGGGACGCTAAAGATGGACTTACAATTACCTCAAAACGTTCCCGGCCCAACCTGAATAAAATAACGTTAAAAACTAGTTTAGTAATGACGGAGAATGATTCACTGTTGCATTTAACGGATCAAAGGTAATCATTCACTTATAAATCAAGTTGTGTACAGTCTCGTAGAGAGCGACATGTAGACACTGCTTCGAAGGTGAGCTACGCATTAGTGGTGCACTTGGGTGAAATTTTGAATGTCACCTTGAAGTATTCCGTCCAAAACACGTGGGGGTATAAGAATGAAAAGTCAGACTGGAATGGGATGATCGGCGAACTTCACCGAGGTGAAGCAGTGATTGGTGGTGAGTTCTGGTTCAATTAAGCTGCATTGCAGTTCTGCTGTTTGCAGGCTCAGTTTCGTTTTTGAGAAGTGACCGCGTACCAATCGTCGATTATGTTGGAATGACAATACCTACGAAATCAATGTTTGTATTTAGGCAGCCGAAGTTGTCATACACCGCTAACGTCTACGCACTACCATTTAATTGGACCGTTTGGCTATCTCTGCTTCTCCTTGTTTTAGGCATAGTAATAACATTATCTGTGGCTCTTAAGTGGAGTTGCACCAAACAAAAACTGAAAACAGCAGTTTGGTTCGATGTTACACTTTTGGCATTTGGTGCAGTGTGTCAGCAGGGATCTTCCTTCACACCGTCGAATGCATCCGGAAGAATAGTTACAATTTCAATGTTTGTCAGTTTGATGTTCCTTTATACGGCTTACTCGGCAAACATAGTGGCCTTGTTGCAATCGTCCTCCAACAATATACGATCGTTGAACGACCTTTTAAATTCACGCTTGTCAGTCGGCGTGGATGACACTGTATTCAATCGATTTTATTTTCCTGTAAGCATTTTACACAATAGAATCACTTTCACAAATGCAAATCGCAACACGTATAATTGATGTGTGCCGCAATTAATTATTACAGAACGCAATAGAACCAGTTTCTAAAGCTTTATATCGACAAAAAGTAGCACCACCAGGGCAGACTCCTCGCTATTTTCCAATTAGAGACGGCGTCGAGAAGATTCGAAAGGGCCATTTCGCGTTTCATATGGAAACTGGAGTTGGTTATCAATTCGTCTGTACGTAATCATTCAAATTGCAACCCTTCATTTACTCAGAAAGTCCTGGTAGTACTTTTTTGGCCCACTCAAACACGCTATAATTTATTTACACGTATCTCTATTTATAGTGCAAACATTTAAAGAATACGAAAAATGTGGCTTGACAGAGATATCGTTTCTTCACGTGCCGGATCCGTGCCTGGTAATTCAAAAAAACACCCCGTATAAAAAACTAATTCAAATAGGGTAACGTGAATTTTTAAGTGCTAAGTAATGTCACTAAGCTCCTTGATTTCAGCTTACGCAAAATTCACGAAAGCGGATTGCAGATGAGGGCAGTCTCACTCATGTACACAAAAAAGCCAATTTGTACCAACAAGGCGAGTAATTTTGTGAGCGTTGGCATTATCGACTGTTATTTGGCTCATGCAATTCTCTTAATTGGAGTGATTATATCACTTTCAATATTCTCGTTTGAGGTTATATTATGTAAGTAAAAGACTTTAATTGTAGAGTTACCTACATATTGCATATTTCTTGTATATTCTAGGGAGACAACGCAAAATGATTAATAACGATGCTCATTAGAGGATTTAGTTTACTAGTACCACAGATACGAGTAACACTCCCTTATCTGTCCCAGTACTTAGATAGTGCTTCAAAGAAGACAACCTACACCAAATGACAAGAAGACAAGGATACTGTAAATTTTTGCAATGAGATATTACACTGGCTGAGTTTTGTTTTAATATAGTGAAGGAATTTCTTCACTCAACGATTTAATGCTTAATGAACAAAAATGTCACTGTATTACACCAAACGTGTTTCGACAGAAAGAGCTACTGCCTCGGTTGACAGTTTTTGTGGTTTTTGGTGTTTGCTTCAAATACTTCAACGGCCACAAATGTCTTAAGGTAAGATTTCCAAAAAAAGAAGACGATTGCCATGTATCGGAAGAGAATGATGATGATAATAGAACATGATTTAACACACACATACACAAAACATGCTATAAAAACAGGTTGAAAGCCCAACAAAGAACTGGTTGGGGTGCAAGCACTTGCACCTTCACTTCGTCCAGGGAATTCAAGCCTATAGTTGAGAGTCGAGGTCAGTTCCGGCATTAGGTGTCGTAACTAATCTGGTTACAGTTGTTTGGCAACCCCGTAACCGCCTCATAACAGAGAAAATGTTAGTTTACAAACCGCAAGTAAGTACACACATCAAACAATTCGATAACTTCGTTACCAAAGATGGAAAATTATAATAAATATAAATTGATGCATACAAAACACGAATATAATATGATAAAGAAATGCAAACATTACTACCTGCATTAAATAATACAAAAATAACAACAAATTAAACTGCACGACGCTTTCGTAAAATAAAGATGTCGTTACGTAGCCAACGTCGGTGGCTTGGTGCTCTAGACCACGCAGGCAGCTTTCCCCTTCTTATTAAAAAACGCGAAATTGTCAGCCTTCAAAAATGCGTGGATCATCGTAAGGTGTATATACAGGATGGAACCTTTCAGCCTTTGTGGACAAGTAAAAAACGCTCGAAGAAGGCGTACGTGATGGAGAGGTGAAGGAGACATGCGTGAAGAAGGCTTAAAAGCATAAGATGCGCAAAAGACCTGAGGGAGGTGTGACGTAATAGTAGACGCGAAGGAATAGTAAGGGGGTGTGTAGTAAACTTAAAATAGATGTCAAAAAACGTGGAAGATCCGTTTGGATAACGTGAGAGGAGTTTAGAGCAAGACGTAGGAGGATAATTAATGAAGCGGAAAGCAACGGTGAGGAATGCTTGAAAGTAAGCGTAAATAAAGGAGATGTAGATAAAGAAAGCCCCTAAGAACGTGTGATCGTAAAAAAAGGGCGCGAGGTAAATATGACGCAAGGGACGTGAATAAGGCGTAGAGGAGACGTGCACAAAACGGAAAGGAGGCGTAAAAGACTCTTGTATAAGACGGGGTGGGCTTTCAAGCAGATGTAAGGAGAGGGTGGGTTGTGAAAGAGTGGAAGCACCTCATGTAACACCATGTATAATCATAAATGGACCCACTAAATGGGAATTACTCTTTATTGAAATTTAAATGAACCGACTTTAAATGAAATGAAAGAATGATTTATTCTATTCTAACAAATCCAATTCTAGTGGTATTCTCAATGGTAAAACGCATGCAACACAAAACAGCTTGATTTCTTTAACAACGTACAAACCAAAATCAAATATAACGTAAGTTTTTTTTTAAGATTCAGACCTTTAATTTTACTGTAATGCTAATGGAATGGCGGTACGTCATATAAGATGGTCCTTAGGTAGAGAACGATGTTGCTACAAAGTTAGGCTGGAGCTTCAATTCCACCAAATATTTACAGATTTATTCTTGAAACTCCACTAGCCGCATAATTTATTGAAAAATCGGCCTTGTAAATTCCTACACTGTGTAAATTTTCTATATTTTCTTTAGCCCTTGAATCTCCAAAAACTTCAAACTTCAGCTTTACCCGAGGCTTTACCTATCTCTATAAAATTTACATTCACAATACGAAGAGACCAATTCTTTGAGTGTATCATTTTACTATTCGAATGATATAGTTGCAATCTTTTTACCCTTAAACGCATTATAATGAATTGAACATAAAAATACAAGACAAATGCTAATACCTTATTTTACAGTAATACCTAAAGACATCGAGATTCCAGTTGCATTCGGATCTACATATGACGGTTTGATTTACTAGTATATCTCCAAAAAATCGCTGAATCAAGGGAAATGGGTGGGAACTCTTGTTCTTTTCCAAGCAAGGTAGCTTGGTTTTTTTTCTCAAAAATTGTCAAAAGATTGCTCAATTTCCGTAATCCAATGGCAAACGCATTTGATAGTGCAGAGCAAGTGCGAAATCTGAACTAATACAGAATCCACGAGTCAAAATTACGTCGTTTTTACGATTTCGGCGGTCTGTTTTACAACTGTGCATGTAGACTGAAACGGCCAGAACTCAATTTTTTCCTACTTATGTATTTCACATCTACTCGTACAGTTCGAATCAGCGCTCTCCCTTAGAAAAATGCACCACATAATGGTTGCTACTCGGTTTCACCACTCGAATTCAGTTCTTTTTACCAATATGATCTTTTTAGAAAAGCAATTTGCCAGACACCTCGGAGTTACTATGTTCTGAATAATAGCGAATCTGAATCAACCATACGGTCACGTATAACCCATTAATTCTGCCTTATGACGCACCCAGCTGATGCCACCAAGGTTTCACACGCAAATAAGTCGACCGAAAATTAAAAAATTCAACCTAACTATTCCCCTTAAAGAGCTCCCGTTACAATGTGGAACTCATTACAAGTCGATGAGGCCCGAAATGGTCCTTTGACATTTAATGAAGCAATTTTACAAATAAGTGCGAATATGGTCTTCCAATGCAGACTTTTGGTATGAATGTATTTAGGATGCGGACACAAAAGTGGTCGTGATCTATACTCAGAAGTACACGTTGACCAAATACGTAGGTATGTCAGCTACTCAAAAAAGCGCAAACATTTTTAAATGTTGCTACCTTCCCTATTTCACTTTAATGTTCGTTAAGTCCAAGGTATTTAAATTGTTAAGATACGAACTACGCAAATAGTGCCAAAATCATTGTGGAAATTTTTGAATTTTGACTCAGTTGTCTTGTTAGTTTTACGATTAGTGAAGCTCAAATCCAAATTTTGTTATGACATAAACCAAGATGAGCGGATTAGATTACAAAACGTAATAAATACGCCAAATAACAAACTAGTATCAAAAGCTCAAATTTTTTCCATTAAAGGCAGTTGTCAAGTGTGGATTGAAACAATTTAAATGCGTATCGAAAGATTCTCCTTAAAATGAGACCGAATGAGCGAAGGCGAGTTCGGTATGGGTGTAATTTAAGTGAAATCTTCCCCTTTCAATCACAGAAAAACATGCTTCGAATCGATTTCAATATTCTCCTAGAGCCAGTAAAAACTATTACCTGGCGTATAATGTACAATATTTTATTTGTTACTCATTTGTAAACAATAGTAAACGTAAATAATTAGTTCTTAAATTGATCTTGAAGAAATGTCTAAAATATCATGTGATCCATGTAACAGAGACTTCGCATTAATTCTGGCCAATGAAATTACTAGATTACTAACTTGTAAAATTTTTACAGGTCTGCTGTCAGTTTTACAGGTCTGCTGTCAGTTTTACAAGTCAGTAGCGTTTAAACATGACGTTTACCCGTTTGCGTTTTGTCTTGTTAATCAACGTTTACAACTGAGTAACAAATAAAATCTATTACAGCATGCGTTTTTCTATAGTCAAGAGAGTTTCTTTTTTTGTCCTAATGGAGGTTGACATTAATATTCTTGACTAACAGTTCATTATTGAATGCATGATGTGTTACTGTTCTCATAGTATTACCCACCATCTGGGATTCGCCAAGATTAGCTGTTTAGCTGACAGTTGAAGTTTTGTAGAAAGATGACCAATTTTGGGAATACATAAATGAAAACTCAACAAAAGTTGTGTGGTGTAGCATAATTTATTATAGATAGATACTTAATATCTAGAGGTCTTACAGAATTAGGTTTCCTTTATTTTCTCTAAAATTATTACGCGTGAAACATGGCAATAATTTCCTTAACAGATAAAAATTATTGAAACAGTGCTAAAAATAACAGTCCAAGTCAAACTTCTTACAATAACGAACTCTAACCTTATGAGTATTTATTAATCACTTCTTTTATCATACAAAACTTTAGGATACACTGATATGTATAGGATGTTTTTTTTGTTTCCATCGTGCTTGATACAACTAAAGAGAATCCTTGCGCACAACTCCACTCGTATGCCAGGTTAAAATACAACACAGTTAATACTTAATAAATATTTTATCACAATAATTGGAAGTATCAATGATTACAAACTTAAAACTACTCTTACGAATTTTCCTATTCAGTCGCACATACTCGCCTAATTAAGAACAATTATATGAAAGCAGTTTAAAATTGCAAAATGATGTGCAGGGTACTGTAATCACAACACCGAAGAGTAGATGAATTACATAAGGGATACATCAGTGTGTCAAGTATCGACCAGTCTAAAATTTTGGAATGTCATGAAAGGCCTATACAAAGTAACTAGCAAAGTCACATTTAATTGTGCTAAAAGCCAGCAAAATAGACACTGGCAATGAGCAATCAGAACGTTTCTTAATGGGTATCCATATAAAAACATAAATAATCACATACTAGCATGAGCAATCAGTAATAAATATCTAGAACGTAATTTGATTGGTCACAACAGTATTTTTAAAACATCACCCAAAGTATGCTTAATTACTCGGAAAGGATGTAATTACAAGCAACACAGCCGTCTCCATAAGCTTCTCTTTTTTCGCTTAAGAGCAAGAATTATGGCTTCGTCAAACGCAGCTTTCAGCTGATTGCAGGTTTTCGCAGATGTCTGAACATACGGGGCATTTAGGCGATCCGCTAAGTTTTCCGCTTGCTCCGTTGTAATTGGTATTTCGCCACATCGCCTTAATTTCTGCAGGACATCTGGATTATTCAGGAGATCAGCTTGCGTACCGACAAGAACAACTGCCGCCTCTAAACGTTGCAATTCATCGGCCCACCGTGTGCATGCCGAGTAAAATGACGTTGGACGCACCAGTGAGAAACAGAGCATGAAGACGTCGGTGCCTGGATAGCAGAGACTTCGCAATGGGTTCAGTTCATCCTGTAACAAAAGTTAAAGTTAGTCAAAGCAAATTCAGGAGAAGAAACCCGAGGCAAAGCAGTTTTTCATTATAAAAGTCGATAACTTTAATTATTTTTAAAATGAACTTTTCAAGTAATCTCATTTCATTATCAAATTACGAGAGTATAAATGTAAATGAATGTTTAATTGGGGCGTTAGGTATAATTAATGTAGATAAGTAAAACCCCTTACAACGTTACTAATAAATGAACTTCATCTTTATAATGAACTTGCTTTAGTTTGAACAATAGGTGTCCTAATTAAATTCGAGAAACAAGGTTTGAGCTTGTACAAAAGGTGCAGCCTTCAGATTTTTAGTTACATTATTCCATGTTTGGGCATAGGTAAAAAAATGCTTACGTCCGATGTAGGGAGGCACATTCTCTGCAATTATGGTAATTTTGGAAGATAATTGCATTGTAATTGCATTGTTCTTCCGGAAAACCTGAAACGTGATTTCTCTCCGCATTTGTATAAAATATAACGATCTGATCGGAAAGTAGTGTTATATTACACTTTCTAAACCAAAACAATCGCAACTTTGGGGGAAGGTTCAAAAATACTGGAATTACTTTTTATAATGAACATTAACAGCGCCGTATAGGTGAACTGGCGAAAGACATCGAACCTACAGGTCTCAAAGTTTGACTAGAGAACATGTGACTAATTATCAATTAAAGTCATTTCTGTGATCGTTTAGGAATTTTGAATAAAGTCGGAAATTTAGAAGCGATTATTCCGAATAACTCGTTTCCTGTATAAGAACTTCGACTAAAATATTTAATGTGACGCAGCTACCTTCGAAGTATGCGAAAAATGGTGGATGGTTAGACATTAACTTTTTGTTGACTAACACGCCAGGCCAGGCTCGCTTAAAAATTCCATTAAACGAAACGAGACCCTGAAAAACTAGGCAAATTTAGATATAGCGCCTTTTCCAGAGCAATGTTGAATTAGCCTATTTATCTTTCGTGTTTTGTTTTCTGCTGTACTAGTAGCGGTTTCCCCAATCTATTAGGTATTATGTTTTTGGTAGCTCTAGGTCTGCAAAACATCTATCTCTAGAGATTTGTTAGATGAATGAGTAGCTATTACCACAGCGATTTATTTTTTATTTGTTATCATTTGATTTTTTACACGGCTATTTTTATCGTCCGATCTTGCATTGTCTTTTGAAGTGTTTATTTGATATCAGCTATTTTTATATTTGACACCTATGCAGCTCGATTTTATCAAAGGCCTTAATCCTAATGCAGAAGGTAAATAACAATGAAGCTGATAAGAGTTGATATTTCCTTGTGCCTAAAACCCATTGGTCACCTCGTGTAAAATGAATGACATGCAATTTTCCTATAATTCAAATTTAGAGGACTTGTGTTGCTTGAAATTTTTTTTACTGCCAAAATTTGAAGCACCGAGAAATACTTAAACGTTCTGAAAACGTGAATGATCTACTCTCTCTTCTGAATATTACATACATAAAGTTGTTCCGTCAAGTACAAGATGTAACGGAAGCCTGCTATCGTACTTAAATTTTTCGATTTTTTAAATATCGTTGGAGTTTTATGGATATTTTAGTGATAGTCTTCTATAGTTAGATATCACCGTGTAGGGGCGGGCAGTAGAATACCCCTACCGCAGAGGAACTGCGTGTCGTAAGAGCCAACTAACCAAAGGCCCGCTTCGCCGCAACTTATTCCCTCTTAATAGCTACCTCCGGAGTCCTTGTTTTTTCTTAGGCAGTTGTGGTGAAAATTCCCATATATTTGGCTATGCCACGTGGTGCTACTTTTTATGATAATTATTTTTATAATAAATAGTTTTTAAATATGCTAGGGCAGACGATTTCAAGTGCAGCGTTCGGGGCGACAGACGGTTTTCAATGTAGGGAAAAACATCCCGAAACTAAACCATGAGGACCATATAAACGTGATGTACAAAAAATCCTCATTTTGTCACTATTTCCAATATTCAATGGCAGAGGTGTTCTCAGACTCCTGAGACCATGTTATTCTAAACGGTTTCAATAGACGGATTCCATTTGGGTCCAAATAACATAATATTTGAAGAGTGCACACCCATTTTTTCCCGGCACAACTTTTGACAGCCAAAAAACCCCAAAATGATCGGACATTTTTCAGTGTAAAACTCGAAAACGGTCCATATTTTATGAATAACACTTCTTTAGTAAATTAAAGGAAACACAATTCTGCGTCGATCAAACAAAATCGGTCTAATAGAAAAATTTTTACAAGCAATCAAAGAAATCCCTTAAGCTCCCCGTCAATTCCTGGAGATCCATGGAAATCCCTGAAATCGAATAAAATTCCTTATAAATCCTCAGAAATCCTTTCGAAGTCTTCTTAAATTTTTACCCATACTTGCTTTTAACACTCATTCCAATACTTTACTACCGCCGCTTCCATATAGAAAAACCTACGCTTCCTCATACCTTCTCACAGGTATTATAAATTAATATCAATATTTGCTGCGTGGGAATATTGAGTAAAACAATTAGAAGCTAAAGTTTATTTTTGAACGAGCCAAAAGAAAGCTATTTGAGTGACAAAGTGCAATTGGAAGGTAGATAAGGAAAGTCAGATTTTGACTTTTTCCATGTGAGAACGAAAATTAATTTAGAACACAATCTCATGGGTTCAAAAATTGCAGTTCACATGTCATATTTTATCAGGAACGATTTCGTTCGGTACGGATACACAATTATTGAAAGGTAAAAGTGACCGCACGTGCAGATAAGCGCATCAGGTGATTAATCTCTACCTACTTACGTTACCGCCCCACCATCAAAAATAGGTATAACTTTTGATCATTTAATTTGATCGTGTTAAAGCGAAATGCAGTGCATCTTGTGCGGAATGGTCTCCAAAAATTTCAAATGGTTCGAAGGAGAGTGCCAAGTACCGAAAGCAAGAAAGCTAGGGTGAGTTTTGTCAAGTACAGATTAGGTACCGCGTAAAATGCAGTAAGTAATTTGGATTTTTACATTTAAACATTGGGCATATAATGCAAAATTATTTTGGAGTTGGACAATAGATGGAGGGTGACTAAATGTTGTGTATGGAAATTTACCTCAACACATGTAACTGTCGTTAGTTTCAATCAATCATTTTCCAAATCAAAAATTTATACACGACAACTACAATCATCTTATCTATCCGAGTCTAAAATTGGAAACACATGTGTCGGCATTTTAAACAGGTGTTAGAAGTCTGTTGATAATATTTGCCTTTCTATTAGGTTTAATGATAATTGTTTGCTAATTTTGAATTAATTTGATACGAGTGGACCGAATACCTCCTTCGCAAAATGAAATGTCTTGAAATCGAAACAAGCAACTCAAGATTATTGTGTCACCTCATGCCTAAAAACTGTACAAAAAGGAAGACTATAAATTTCATTCGTTCTCTCTATATTCATGATAAATCCGGGTTCTTATTAGAAGCATTTAATTGGTCCAAAAATTCATTCAATATATCAACGTATTCACAAACTTCTTTTGTTGGAGTTGGAAAGTGGATTTCCATTTTTCCCATTTTCAGATCAGATAATAGAAGTTTTGGTGTGTTTTTTAAAGACAAGTACCTACACTTTCGCTTGCCAGTTATTAGATAATAGTAGGGGAGCTAGCACGAAATCCACTGAACGAGAATGATCAAAATTTTAACCCATGGAGTTTCATTTTGCCCTATCAGAGTATGCTCTGCCGCCTCAGGTCATATGACTTAAGGCGCTGCGGATACTTCTTGCGGTGCCAATTCTGAAAGGTTGTTTTTCGAGAAAATAAGTTATACACCAAATGAAAACGTTGATAATAGCTCTTAAAAAAATATTTAAAAAAATCGCGCACATTTGATAACTCCGTAGAAAAACAATTTTTAGTCGGTTTGTCACGAACTTTCTACGGATATAACTAGGTTACCGTTGGATAAATGACGCTGATTTTTTTTACAGACTAATGATGGGCACAGCCAATGACTATGAGAGTGTTTCTTTTTTAATTTTTTTCTCTAATTATAAGATATCTTATAATGTTAAGATAATAAGATAATCTTATAATTAGAGAAAAAATTTAAAAACGAAACACTGTTAAGTCATTAGTAGTACCTACCTATCATCAGTCTGTAAAAAAAATCAGCTTCATTCGTCCAACGGTAACCTAGTTATATCCGTAGAAAGTTCGTGAAAAACCGACTAAAAATTGTTTTTTTACGGAGTTATCAAATGTGCGCGATTTTTTTAAATATTTTTTTAAGAGCTATTATCAACGTTTTCATTTGGTGTATAACTTATTTTCTCGAAAAACGACCTTTCAGAATTGGCACCGCAAGAAGTACCCGCAGCGCCTTAAGTCATATGACCTGAGGTGGCAGACGATCGATTTTAGCATACTCTGATAGGGCAAAATGGAACTCCATCGACTAAAATTTTGATCATTCTCGTTCAGTGGATTTCGTGCTAGCTCTCCTACTATAAGGGGTAAGGCGGACTGACCTTTATGGCCTAAACGTCACAAATTGTAGATAACAGGTATTCAAATGCCTCACCAAACGCGACTATCTTTCAAAGTGCGCGCTCACTATAGTAGTCCAGTATGCGAAGCGGTCAGAAGGGCCGATTCCTGCGAAAGGTGGTGGAAACGATTTTATTGTTTTAAATGGTCCATTTGAGTCCAAATAACATGTATTTGACGAGTGCACACCAATTTTTGCTCGGCGCAACTTTTGGCAGCCAAAAAACCTCATAATGTTGGGAGTTTTTCGCATAAAACTCGAAAATGGTCCATATTTTATGAATAACACTTCTTTAGTAAATTAAAGAAAACACAATTCTGCGTCGATCAAAAGATGAACAAGCAAAATCGGTCCAATAGAAAAATTTTTACAGGCGATCAAAGAACACTATTAAATCTCAGATAACCTTTTTTTTAATGCGTTGTGGCTCCTAAAGGAACTATAAAA